TATATATACATTGCATGTGTATGTGTATATGTATGAATATGAGCACACACATGTGCACAACTATATATATATATATACAAATGTGGATGAAAATGTATACGCGTACGATTCTGTTTATACTTATATATATTATATACTTGAATATATTGTATACTTAGATATATATATAGATATATAATCATAAACATACGCATATACGCACAAACATACATAACTACACGCTATACATACACATTAATACATACAAACACACACATACATATAAATATATAGATATACAAAGTTGCATATAGATATGAACTTGCACTTATATATATACACAAACACACGCACACACATATATATATATATATACGTGGGCACGTATATGTATATGTCTATATGTACACGAGTATATATGTATATGTATATATGTATTTGAAGATTTTATATATATGTGCATGTATATACATATGATATGTACATACGCAGTGATATATATGTATTTATATACATACGTACATATATATATATACATACGTACATATATCTATATAAACAATGTATGATAATATATAAACAACATATGAATAATAACAATTTAAATACAATGTGCCTCTGTGTAGATATACGTATGTATACACATGTACATTGTGTTTATGTATAAATATATATTTATATATATATAAACATGTAGACATATATAGATGTACATCTGTACAAAATTTTACAAGTATACATATACACATTCACATGCACGTACACAAAGCACAATGTTGTATATTTGCATATAAATATAAGTATATTTCTACACACAAATATACATAATACGCATTTATATATATATATATATATATTCATACATCATCATCTACATTTACATATATGTACCGTCATATAGAGAAACAAATACATATGAATAAATCACGTATAGTAAAATAGTTAAATAAACAAATATTTGCGTGTGTGTGTTTCTATCGTATGAATATACATATGTATAGATGTATATGTATATGTGTGTGTATTTTTATGATCATACTCATACTTACACGTATGAGTATAGGTATGAGTTTATATATATACATGATATATGGAAATACTTCTAAATGAATATATGTATATTCATATGCGTATAAATATATATTTATATAAATATAATAATATATAGACATACAAACATATTTGTTTTTGCCAGATACATATATATGTATTTAAAATGATGCGTAAATCCATACACACACAAATACAATATATATACGCACACACACACATATACATACATAGCCATGTGTATGCTTAAACATACACGTAGCTCCTTAGTATGTATATGTGTACATAAAACGAAGTAAATATGAAATCCAATTTAAATTTTATATATGTACATATTCACACAGACACATACATATATAAATATATTAACACATACATAAATATAGATATATAGATTAGATTCATATGCATACATAAGGATATATATATATACATGGTATATATCTTAAATATATATATATACATATATAAACGTATATGCGTATGTATGTGTGTTTCTATGTATATATATGAATACAAATGCAACAGAACAATACACACACACACATATGTTTTAATACATACATACATACAAAGACAGATAGGTTTATAGGTATATATATATATATATATATATATCTATATACATATTTTAGTTACGGACACAGACACACATATACACAATAGAGATACTCACATTATATATCGAGTATATTGTAAATGAACGTCGAGGTTTATACAAATTGAGACAGGCACATATAAATTTTATATTCTCGTTCAAGATGTACCAATTTGACCAATAACACGTAGTGTTGTCATGAAGAACATACAACTAGATAGATAGATATATACAAGATATATTCATGTATACATAGATACAAATATTTATTAATAAATATATATATATATAAATAGTTGTAGATTCATGATACATATACTTACACATAAACGTAAAATATATACACATCTACACATAGATACAAACACACACATACATTGTTTTTGAATACGTTTGAGTGTAAGTATATGCATATGTACACAAATGTCCAATATATATATATATATATTCATACATTTTTACATACATACATATAATAATAATATTTACATCACTATGAATACAAAAATACATATATATACCTACACAAACTGACAATATGTGACAATATGTATCAGTATATTGCAAATAGATGCACACAAAAACTTACTTGCATATATATACAAGTATAAATATATGAATACACACGCATACGAATTTATTAATATATATATATATATTTTCTTGATACATAAAAATACATACATACTTTTATAGATATATAGATATATATACGTACACACATATATATACTTACATGTACATATATACATATATATATATATATACAAATATACATATTATTCTATATATATATTTATATATTCATATATATATGTATACAAATATATATATATATATATATTTATGTATATCTATATGGACACACACACACACTCACGCATATATATATATATATATATATGTTAATAATTGCACACATATATTAATATATATATATATTGTGATTCCCCCGTAGTAGAACTTGTTGACCCACTTACTATCACCGTGATACCACAGAACTGCAACCTTTTAAGAAGGAGTCCTCGTTTTAGGGACTCGGTAGCATTGCAATCACACGCTATCACAGAAGTTTATAGGAATCAGGGGATCGAACCCATATATTGTTGCTTTGTGATACCCTCGTAGTAGGAGTGGTTAACAAAACTTATATATATTTATATGTATATATATATATATATATATATATATATATATATATATATATATATATATACTATACTATATATTATATATATACTTACATGCACACACTATTATATATATATATATATATATAGATATATATATATATATATATATATATATCTATATACAAATATATATATATGCATATACATATATATATACAAATTATATGTTCTTACATATTCGTCGTATCCACATAGGCAGTAAAAAGGCATTTGCGTACTTTATGATGCTATATAAGTGGATGTATCGGTCATATTATATACTTACTTGATCTTGGTTTGGAATGGTTTCTTTCTAGACAACTGTGACGCATAAGTGGGTGATTACTTCAATGTCTTAGAATATGGATCGTGAAGCACGCCCGGGATACCTTGATGAGAATCGTCAGACAATCCGGAAGGGCAGATGAAAGAGCTACCTAAAAAATCACTGTTTGAGATATCTCACAATGATTCTCAAAAATGCATACTTTGTATTCCGCTATTGTTACACATATGTATTTATCAATTATTTGAGCTCATGGACGTCATTCAATATTGCCCGACGACCGACGTCGTTGTTCTTTTATTGCTCTTGTTGTTTCCCGACGGACGTTGTTCTGAAAAAAGAATTGTTCTGTATATAGGTAGGCTACAGCCTTTATTTTTGTACCCGAATTATCCTCCAGAACTTCCAGAAGGCCAAAACTCCGCGGTCGGTAACAGTTCATGAATATTTCATGAAATAAGATCTCAAGCCTGAGCGGCTGCAAGTTAGCTAGTAGGCAGTGCTAAGTGCTGAGTGCTGAGTGCTGAGTGCTGAGTGCTGACTCATGACTACCGATAGTGCTGAGGGCCTAAGGCATGAGCCCATGCCTTTCTCTGGCATTGTATCCCTATTCGTAAACTACCTCAGCAACCGTCAATCGGCTGTGTACACTGTATGTCAACGGGAGTAAAATAAACGCTTTCCAAAATCAAAAGTTTTGTTCTTCTCTCCTGCTCATACCTATTTACTCCCCAGAGAGTGAGACAGGGTCTGCGACTCCACGAGAAACCGAGACTCTCCGAAATAAAAAGCTGGACCTGTCACTCTGCATTTTTAAACCAATTTCAAACAGATCCGTTGGTTCTTAGTTCTCAGATCATTTGTACCGTCGACGGTACAAATCCTGAACCAACCAACTGATTTGCCTTGAATAAAAACCTTTTTCTAATTAGTCGTATAGATTGGCTTCCATGTCTATTTAAAAAAGTTATGTAGAATCAATGATGTCAAATTTGGAATTTGCATCATGGAAAGTTGTTTTTTTCTTCATGGCCATCTAGAAAAAGTAGAAATTAAATAAGGGAGAACGGACATGTCCGAATGTAGTACTTTTTCTATATATAAAAAACATAAAACCCAAAACATCTGACTCCAAAAATTGTCGGATGTTTGGCTAATTTTATTTTTAAATTTATTTTTAGAAGGCTAAGTATGATTGGGCTGGGGGTCTGGGGCTTCTTGAGAGGCTGGGCCGCTGCCCTCTGGGTGGGCTCTTGAGACTCGAGTCTTGAGCCGAGGCTCCAAGCCCCAAGGGCCAAGGCTCCACAATTCATATCAAGAGAGTGAAGACGAAGAGTGACAAGACCATAGCCTACTAAATCAAACAACGAGACCCAAGAAGTTTTTTATTTAAATATAAAAACACCAACCATATGTTATTTTGAAAATATATATAAATAGTTTTGAATTGCAAACCTATTTACGATATAGTCTTGATTTTCGATATTGAAGTCAACTATCTGATTGGGTATCAGCTTAGTTTCCGACACAGAAAGTGAATTAAATACAACATGTTCGGTGAGATTTATCTGATTTTTTATACTACTGTGTGAGCATTTGTACTACATACTACTACTACAGAGAGAGAGAGAGGGATTAAAAAATGAATGGAAACGATAGTGAACAGAGTAAAGATAGATTGCAGAAGTAGATACTACTTGTGAGTCAAGTTGAGAGTCTGTGCAAGCATGAAATAGCGAAGACTAAAAGTATTTACAGTGCTCTACCTATTTTTCAAATACATAGTAAAGTAGAGTGAATTTTCCCTGCCCCCCCTTCTATTTGGATAGCGTAGGTCGACAAAGAGGTGAGATTCGAGACCAGACTCGAGACTATGAAGTACGAGATACGTATTTGTTTTCCCATTTCAAAATCTGAATAATATGCGATCAACTATAAACTTCCACAGCACTCTCTCAGATATCCACTTCACTTTCAGTCAGTGAGTAGCATATTAGCGGCGATGGAGTTGACACTAAAATTAGCCCTGGCTATAGTCGCCTTTGCAAATGGCGCGCTAGGCAACGACAACTGGGTGAAGGTTGGGGCGCCTGTTGATAATTTGGCCGCCAAGAACGGCGGTAGCGGCAGCGGTGGTTTGGGCGGTTCTACTTCCATGGATGTAGAAACAGGCTTGGGTTTGGGGCCATCAGATCAGGCCACTGACTACGAGACAGAAATCATCACTGAAACAGTAGCCATCACCAAGATTATCGATGGTAGTAGAGGTGGTGCTGATTGTGCCACCGGGCCTGGTGCAAATTTGGCACAAATTAACATTCCCAGACTGGATCTGTCAAATAATGTCGCAGCAGTACAAGCGATTATCGATGCGCTTAACCCCCCGATTCCAGGTGATCTCTATTCACGTGCTTCCAATTCATGCCCAAGTACCACGCCTGTAGAGTTAATAGATTATAGCTTTGTAGAAGCTCTCTATGGCAACAGCACATCATACACTACAATGCTTGCGAGTGTACCTGCTGGAGCTTGCTGGAATGAGACCTTGAATTATTGGGGTAGCAAGGAGTTCTACGAGGTACTACCCTTAGCGGAAATCTTCAACAGTGAAGGTAGACCGTTGAATAAAGGAAATTTAGAAGGATGCCCAACTATTGACAATTGTTTGAGTCAAGGTTGCTTCTCAGTTCTCAACAGCGATGCAAAGATACCAGCTTGTCTCCAGTGTAACGTGAACATGTTTCAAAGTGAGAACTTAACGTCTTGCGAAAACGGTCCGTGCCCTGGTCCTCCGGATCCCGACTGTGTTGGTAGTACAACTCAGCGTTTCTGCGGCTACAACTCAGTCTATACGTCTTTCAATGTGACTGCGGGATCAGGTGGCATAGTGTCGGCATGCTTTGCTAGCCAGTGTTGCAATGCACTTCCAGTTCCACCAAATGTAGGAACCGGAATTGTTAAATGTCCAGGCGAATGTATAATCCCGCCATCTCCTACTGCATCACCTACTACCTCACCATCTCCCAGTACAACCCCATCTGTAACCCCGACCGCAAGTACAACTCCATCTGTAACCCCGACCGCAAGTACAACTCCATCTGTAACCCCGACCGCAAGTACAACTCCATCTGTGACCGCGAGCGCAAGTGTAACACCATCTGTAACCGCGAGCGCAAGTACAACACCATCTGTATCCGCGAGCGCAAGTGTAACACCTTCGGCAACTCCCACCGCAAGCCCAAGTCCGTCAGTCACCACCACTCCTGTACCAGGTATGACAAGTTTAGTAGTGATTTACGTGGATTGAAATCCCATGTTTTGCCATTTCGTGTTTAAACTACAGATCATAACCAATACATACAATCCTTGTATTTTATAGCCTGCTACCCGGCTAGGAATGATCTTGATTTTGGGAATGCTCCGCTTGATACGAGATGTGGAACATTCTGTGTACTTGCTGGTGTTTTGACCAGAACTGGGGCTTTCGACGCCGTCAATTGTGTTCGAGCCGAATTTGATGCTAGCGGTGACACCAATCTACAAATACGAAGTCTCGCATCACAGCAAACCATCGAGGTCCCACTCATGTAAGCCATCAGATCAGCACATGGACACAATTGAACGCATCCATATATCAGGCTCTCCACATCGCTCTGTCCTAAAAATTTTCACTACCTGATCAATACGATATTCTTGAAACTTATTCTTGAACTTTGTCACATTGTTATGGGTTTTGAACGTCGAGCACCGTTAACGTTTCCATTTTATCAATTTTGCAGTGGATTCAGCAATCAAGACTTCGATGCCAGCACGACACTGGCGCATATCACTGAGCCGAATACAGTACTGTAAGTAAAATTCGAACTGCTTCAAATCTTTCAGAGATTGAGCGTCCATAACAGTATCAAGAAGGTATCTTTGGTCTACTGACTCACATTTCGCCAACAGAATTTGCTAACATCAACCCTTATTTTTGCTGACAGAACATTCGAGGAAACCGGTGTCACAACAAAAATACTGGGCGAAATCAGTGCGGAAGCGATAACCCTGTAAGTGGCACATCCGAGTTTATAATCAAATTT